GAAGGGAAGGGGGAAGGGGAGAGGGAGAGGAAGATAGAGAAGGTAAAGGTACATGAGAGGGAGAGAGAGTAAGAGTGAGAATGAGAGGGAGAAGGAGACGTGTGTGTGCGTTCGTGCGTGCGCGCATGTGTATCTGCGTGTGCATATATGCAAACCTGTGTCTACTTAATTAGTTCTTTTTTTCGTTCTTTCAATTTTCTCTAGTTTAGTTTTTTTTTTTATAATATATAAAGGAACATTTTAGCAAATTATGATCCTGCTTATAGCTTTTTTTCTACCCATTTTTTTCCAAGAGATAAGAAGCTTTAATATTAATCACAATTTGCCCTAAAATATCATTACGCTTCATCCTTTGACAGTAGACCTTTTTTTTTAAGTCCGTTACCCCCTTCTCGTCCATCCCTCACGCAATGTTCTCGGATCCATAATTCTTGGCCTTTTCATCTCTCCCTCTTCGTTCTCCTGCACGAGAGGAGTATCAAGACTTGATAAACGGAAATTAATAATTCAGGGAAAACGCGATCACGTTAACTTTTTTTTACTTGAGATACTGTGCATAAGTTTTTTTCTTTCTTTTTCTTCGTCTTCTTTTTTTCTCGTCTTTTGTGGCTTTGTTGTTTTCTTTGGTTTTGTTTATATTGAGTTTTGTTTTTCATATTTTATCTGTGTCTTAAGATTTCTCCACTTCCTTCTTCCCTGTCTTACCCTCTGCCTTCCCTCCCCTCTTTCCTTCTCTTCCTCCTCTATCTACTCTCTTCATCTACCATTTCCCTCTCTTCTTCTTCCCTCACTTTCCCTCTCCCTCACCCCTATCTACTCTCTCTCCTTCCCTTCCCTTGTTACCTCTCACATTCCCTTCCTTCCTTTACCTCCTCCTTCTCCTCTTTTCATCTACCCTCTCTCTCTCTTTTTCTCCCTCGCCTTCCCTCTCCCCTCTCTCCTTTCTACCTCTCACATTCTCCCCTCCATTTCCCTCTCCTTCTTCCCTCTTTATCTACCTTCTCCTTTTCTTTTAGTCTCCTTCGCCTTCCCTTGCCTCCTCCTCTTCCTCTCCTTCTCCCCACCCTCCTCTTCCCATCTCCCTTCCCTTTCTCCTTCTCTCCTTCCGCCTTCTTTCTCTCTCTCTCTCTCTTTCTCTCTCTCTCTCTCTCTCTCTCTCCCTCTCTCTCTCTCCTCTCTCTCTCTCTCTCTCTCTCTCTCTCTCTCTCTCTCTCTTTCTCCTCTCTCCTCTCTTACTCTTCCTCTCTCCTCTCTCCCCTCTCTCCCGTCTCCCCTCTTCTCTCTCCTCTCTCCTCTCCATCCCTTCCCTCTCTCCTTCCTCCCCATTTCCTCCCTCTCCTTCCGCCTTCCCTCTCTCCTCCTCTCTCCTTCCTCCCTCTCACATTGCCCTCCCGCCCGCAGAGAGGTGGACGTGTGGGCGTCGGGCTGCCTTCTGTCCGAGATGCTGACGGGGGAGCCGCTGTTCCCCGGAGAGAGTGACATCGACCAGCTTTTCCACATCATTCAGACGCTGGGTGAGTAAGCTGAGGGTGGTGTTTGTGTGTTTGCGTGTATTGATGGTGTTTTTGTTTTGTGTTTTGTGTTTATGTAGATATAGATATGAGATAGATAAAAAGGATATATGAATATGAATATAAATATTGATTTTTTTTTTTTGGGGGGGGGGGTGAACGTTTTTTTTTTTCTTTATTTTTTGCGGGAACAGGATTTCTCTTTTGTTTTGTTTTGTTTTTTAATGTTTTATTTTCTTCTTTGTTGGGGTTTGGTTGCAGTGGTTTTCTTTGTTTTATTTTTCACAAACATAGAGACCAGAAATTTTATGTATGCACAGGTTCTAAGATGCAGCTCCAGTTGATTTATCTGTTAAAAAAAAAACGGAAAGTTTACGAAGCAAATGTTTTGAGCTGAAAATATGTCACCTAATATTGCCATCATGTTTTAAGAAAGATTCTAATTTGGTTTAATCCCTGTCATTCACACTAAGCCATCTTAAATCCCGTCAAAATGATGTTAGGCAAACAGACGCATGACATGACGTAATTCACACGTCACCGCCTTGCGTTTTGCTGCAGATCATTAGAAAAAAAAAAAAAAAAAAAAAAAAAAAGTGAAAAGTAAAAAAAAAAAAAAAAAAAAAAAAAAGGTGAAAAGCAAAAAAAAAAAAAAAAAAAAAAAAAAAGGTGAAAAGCAAAAAAAAAAACAAAAAAAAAGCAAAAGCAAAACAAAAAGTATTTACCGTAATAATTCTCCGATTAAGACTTCTTACCGCTTCTTATCTGGTGATTTAATACCTGCAGGCACTCTAGGTGATGAAATGATAAGATAAGGTCAGAAGTTTCCACGTGGAGATGTGTTTATGACGAAATGATAGCGTGTATGAGTGACCTGTCTTGACCTAATGACCTACAGGGGCACGCTTTAGTCCACGGCGATTCCAGGTCGATTTTATTGTATGCAGTGACCTAAATTCCTCTCATAATATTTCAGCTTAAACTGCAAAATTGCATCTCCATGATATTATGGGAAATATGTATATATATGCAGGATATTTTTGGGTGCATGCGTATTTATAATTATGTAGATCAATGGATTGGTAAAAGGTTAGGGAGAGAAAGAAAATTAGATAGATAAATAGATAGATAGATAGATAGATAAAGGTGTACCCATACACCGACATAAACGCAGATACAGTCACACAGACGCATACAAACACACACACACAAACACACACACACACACACACACACACACACACACACACACACACACACACACACACACACACACACACACACACACACACACACACACACACACACACACACACACACACACACACACACACACACACACACACGATATCTGATCATCACCATAACCTATTTGAATGGAACAACCGAGCTAAACACATCGCACCGCCAGCTGCTAATTATAGTCATCATTATCAGCACATACATCACCTTAATTATCATCTCCACCACAAACGCCATCACTGAACTCCCCACCACCAGCATCTCACGGCCTCCCCCCCCCTCCCCCCCGCAGGCGAGCTGAGCACCCCGCACCGCCAGCTGGTGGAGCGGAACCCGATGCTGGCCGGCCTCCGCCTCCCCGCCGCCGCCTCCACGCCCCTGTCGGCCTCCTTCCCCAACTGGTCCTCCCGCGCCCACGCCTTCGTCTCCGCCTGCCTCTGCCTCGAGCCCGTGTCACGCCCCTCGGCCCAGGAGCTCCTCAACCACGAGTTCTTCACCCACGACGGCTTCCCCGAGACCTTCCTGCCGGTGCTGCGGCAGAAGGTGCAGCAGGAGTTCAGCACCAACGTCCTCCTGGGCATGACCGGCGGCGGGGGGAGGCGGGGCTCGAGCACGCCCGCCAGGAGGACCCAGGGGCGCAAGGTAACCGGGGGCGGCTCCCCTGAGAGCGTCTACGGCCGGAGCATCGGTAGGGCGCCGCAGCCTACCACCACAGCGACCACAACGCCCGCGAGAGCAGACGCCACGACCATCCCCGCCAGGTTAGTCGTCGCGATGTGTGGGCGCGTGAGGTTTACACGTACACAGCATAGTGTAGCGAACACAGAGATGCACACGAAAGAGTAAAGAGAAGAAGAAAAGGGAATAATGGAGGGAAGGAAGGAAGAAGAAGGGCTAAAGAGAGGGAGGGAGAAACTGCACACAAACAGATAAGGAGAGAGAGAAAAGGAAGGAAGGAAGGGTTGGGAAAGGAAGGAGAATAAGGGAGGGAGGAAGGAGGGAAGAAGGGATGGAAAGAGGAAGGAGGAAGGGAGAGGAAGAAGAAAGAAGAGACACAGATGCACACGAACGAATAAAATTTAGAGAGGGAGGAAAAAGAGGGAAGGGAGGAGGGAGAGAGAGGAGAATAGGGGGAGGAGGAGGAGGACTGAGGAGAAAGGAAGGGATGGCGGGGGAGTCGGGAAAAGATAAAGAGATGAAGTAGGCAGAGAGGAGAGAAGAAGAGAAAGAGAATGATAGAATTAACCGCAAGTCGTTGAATCAAATGTCATTTTTTTCTATATTTTTAATGATTTTTAATGATTTTTAAAATCCGGAAGGTTTTCAAATTGACTCGCGTCTCTCTCCAACCTGATTGTGTGTTCGTTTGTATGTGCTTCTTATATCGTGTGTTTGAGTGTTGCCATGTAATGGGCAAATATCGATGCAGTGCAAATTAATTATTGACTCTCTCTCTCTCTCTCTCTCTCTCTCTCTCTCTCTCTCTCTCTCTCTCTCTCTCTCTCTCTCTCTCTCTCTCTCTCTCTCTCTCTCTCTCTCTCTCTCGCTCTCCCCAGTTGTCTCTCTCTCTCTCTCGCTCTCCCCAGTTGTCTCTCTCTCTCTCTCGCTGTCTCTCTCTCCTCCTCCTCCTCCTCTTCTCCTCCTCCTCTCTCTCTCTCTCTCTCTCTCTCTCTCTCTCTCTCTCTCTCTCTCTCTCTCTCTCTCTCTCTCTCTCTCTCTCTCTCTCTCTCTCTCTCTCTCTCCTCCTCCTCCTCCTCGTCCTCCTCTCTCTCTCTCTCTCTCTCTCTCTCTCTCTCTCTCTCTCTCTCTCTCTCTCTCTCTCTCTCTCTCTCTCTCTCTCTCTCTCTCTCTCTCTCCTCCTCCTCCTCCTCCTCGTCCTCCTCTCTCTCTCTCTCTCTCTCTCTCTCTCTCTCTCTCTCTCTCTCTCTCTCTCTCTCTCTCTCTCTCTCTCTCTCTCTCTTCCTCTTCCTCTCCCTCTCCCTCTCCCTCTCCCTCTCCCTCTCCTTCTCCTTCTCTCTCTCTTTTTCTCTCTTCCCGTCTCCATCTCCATCTCTCTTCCCCCCTCCCCCTCCTCTCTCTCCCTCTCTTATAAGACAACAAATTTAGTCATGCAAGAATATCCTTCTCTTTGGTGAACATAAAACAATGATGTTTTTATGTTGAACAGCGTAGCCATACCTTGTATTACACTCCACTGCATTATTATACTTGTGCTTTAGATGCTGTAGTATTAGCTAATACGAAAGCCGAGCATGGCTGTCAAACCATTAAATGCATATAAAAAAAATCGTGTGCATGACTATCACAATCATGCGAGAGTGTCATGCAAGCCACACTGGAGTCACGTGTTTCCGCAACTGCTCAACGAATGTTGGGTTCGAGTTCTTGGCTATGAGGCGGCGTAAACAAATACAACGTGATATTCTATTGATCAGAGCACTAACTTGTAAAAAGCGGATACATTCCTACGCTACATTCCATTTTGTCTGTCTGTAACAAGTATATGTATAATGGGAGTACTGTCTCTGTATGTATGTCTGTATGTCTATCTCTGTCTCTTTGTCTCTCTGTCTCTCTGTCTCTCTGTCTCTCTGTCTCTCTGTCTCTCTTTCTCTCTTTCTCTCTTTCTCTCTTTCTCTCTTTCTCTCTTTCTCTCTTTCTCTCTCTCTCTCTCTCTCTCTCTCTCTCTCTCTCTCTCTCTCTCTCTCTCTCTCTCTCTCTCTCTCCTTGTTGCGATGTTGCATCTAAATCGTCCTTCGTCACGTGGCAAATTGATATTTGGCGGTCGTATCGATGTGCGAACGCGGCGCCGAATCCGTGCGAATCCGTGAATCCGGATAAATCATAGAAAAACGCACGAGGCAATTTTCCTTTTTTTAATGTTGAAAGGAATATAGGAGTTTTTATTTTCATTTGTAAGAATTTTTATACATCTGTTTGTTACGAGTATCGTGCGCATAATTAAATTTTAATTAAAGTAATTCGTTTTTGGTACGATTTATGGAATCATTATATGTGAAATTATTGTCTCCGTCCGCAGTTTGCTTGCATGACTTTGACTGCACATTACTTTCATACAAGAGCCCTAAGAAATGTTATTTCTACAATAAAACGGTCAAAGTAGAAAAGGTAACCAAAGAAAATACTTAAAATAAAAAATTTACGAACAATATCTACGTAGTCCGGCCGCCAGTCAGGAATTTTATCAATGGTAAAGCATTTCCAATAACTTATTTTCCAGAGCGCGCAAAATAGAACGTTTTGTCGCATCATCGATTTCGTTACACTTAGATATAGATAGATTAAAATAGATAGATAAGCTTACACTTTTCTGCATGTCTGTGTGCACATAGCGATCCCGATGTGCACGAACCGCACGCACGTCTTAACCCAAATGTGTACGTGTTGCTGCAGATCCTCACCCACCAAGCACACCCTCCAGGCAACAGGCCCCCGCCCGACCGTGTCCTTCGCGACCCTCACGCCCTCGCACAGCAGAACAGGGGCGTCCATACAGAGCCTCGGGGGCGTGGCCTCCTTCACCGCGGCAGGAGGAGGGGGCGTGGCTGACGAAGGGCTGATGCTACCCCTGAGAGAACTGCACGCTGCCAACTCCAACACGGCCTCAATAAACAACAACAATAACACAATCGCTCTCACTTTGCACATCACGGGCACGACCAACACAGCGTCGCCTGCACGCACGACCAGGTATGTTGTGGGGCGTTGGAGTAGAGAGAACAGGGCGGGGGTGGGGGGAAAGGGCGTTGGGAAAGTTTATTTTAGATGGATGTACCGACGTTTTGAATAATGAGTAAGTATGCTTGTTTCTGGACCCAAGGAAAAACATAGTTCGAGGCTGAGACATAAAAACGATATGGTAAGTAATTCTGCTTTTTTCTGTGATTTCTGTTATTTTTTTTCCAGAAGAGTGTCGGTTGGGAGCAGAGTTTGATTCGAGGGCAAATGTTGACAGGATCAGTTCGGCAAAGTAATTCAAGTTGGAATTCAGATTCGCATGCCTCTGACTAAATATTCGTTTTAGGGCCTGGACACTGATGATATTATATCTTGTGTATAATGGTTTCCCTCGTCATCGTCTCAATACCTCTTTCCGTCAACGATTTATGTGACACGAATTATGCAGTAGAAGTCATTTAGCTGTACACTATACCCTGAGCCCCTTAGCAGCGCAAACTTTTCCAGAGCCAGCGACAAGTGCCGGAAGTCGCCCGTGAACATCTGGGGCTCGAGTCTGAAGGCTCGCGGTCAGGGCCTGTGCATCCAGGGCCAGGGCCAGACGCCGAGCCAGAGCCAGGGCCAAGGCCACTGGGACGACGACGACCACTTCGGGGCCATGATCGCCGACGGTCCGCCCTCCTTCACCGCCGTCACCGCCAGCAGCCGCCATCTGGGGGGCGACCTCCCCCGCACGCCGGCCGAGCACGCCAGGGCCTCCGACATGAGCCGCCATCCCTACACCATCAGCCTGGACCGGACCAAGGAACTCGTGGCCAGGGATTCCCCGTCCTCCTTCAGGGACTTCACCAGAGACCCCCTGAAGGAAATCAAGGACAACCCGCTCAGGGATCCTCTGAGAGATCCTTTGGGCTACAGAGACTCCCTCAGGAGACCTCGGCTGGAGGTGATGGGCTGGGCCAAGCCTCGCCTGCTCAACGACGACCTCTCACTGCCGAACGTCCCCGGAGGTAAGGCTCATCCTTGGGTTCATTTCGTGTTTTGCTGAACGGATCAAGAAAGGGTTAAACGCCTTTTTAGTTACTGATGTAGAATTGAAATGTATATATGTATATATATATATATATATATATATATATATATATATATATATATATATATATATATATATATATATATATATCATAAGAAATACGATGTGCTGGTTTACTCATAAGCTTTAAGAGAAAAGTTGTCTCTCTTTTAATCGCTAAGTCGTTTCCTATACATGAACGAACAATTAGCCGATACTTTTTTATGGATTCCCTATATTGTCCCCTCCCTTTTTCCCTTATTTCGTCCCCATTCCCCTCCCACTAACGACCGCCATTTTGTTCGCAGTGACGTCATCGAACAACACGGGCAGCAGTAGCCCAAAGAAGTCGGGGGTTGGGGGCGGGGGCGGGGGCGGGGCCGTTGGCGAGAGCGTAAGCAGATCCCGGAGAGGGGGCGTGACCATGCCCATTCTCAGCAGCATCCAGAGGAGTTCAGCCACGTCGGTGAGTTTCTGTTTTTTTTGGGGGGGGCATTTGTTTTATCTTCTTTTGATATCTGTTCCTTTTTCTCTTTCTTTGGATCTCTCTCTTTCTCTTTCTCTTCTTTGGATCTCTTTCTTTCTCTTTCTCTTCTTTGGATATCTCTCTTTCTCGTCTTTTATTCTCTCTCTTTCGCCTTTCTCTTCTTTTAATCTCTCTCTTTCTCTTCTTTTATTCTCTCTCTGTCTCTTTCTCTTCTTTGGATGTATCTCTCTCTCTCTCTCTCTCTCTCTCTCTCTCTCTCTCTCTCTCTCTCTCTCTCTCTCTCTCTCTCTCTCTCTCTCTCTCTCTCTCTTCTTTAGATCTCTCTCTTTCTCCTTCTCTTCTTTGGATCTTTCTCTTTCTCTTTCTTTTCTTTGGCTCTCTCTCTTTCAATAAAAACGCTCCCTGACCAGGATTCGAACCCAGGTCACTCCAAATATGAACCAGAGGACCAATGCTATACCAATCATACCATATAAATATACCTCAGTCCATCTGACTTTGGATCTGAATTGCTGAATTTCCTGCGAGTGCCCACGGGGAGTATGTGTTAAACCTCGCTATCATTACTCATGTATGAGTAGATAGGTAATGTGTATGGAGCTAGGTAGATCCTAGTTGCACACTCCTTTTGTTGGGTCGTGTGATGTGGTTGGTTTAGTACTGGTCCTACGGTTCATACCTGGAGTGACCTAGGTTCGAGGCCTGGTCAGGAAGGCCACTCTCTCTCTCTCTCTCTCTCTCTCTCTCTCTCTCTCTCTCTCTCTCTCTCGATCATTCTCTCTCTCTCTCTCTCTCTTTCTCTCTCTCTCTCTTCTCCCACTTTCTCACACCCCCTTCCTCTTCCCTCTCCCGTTCCCTCGTTCATCGTTTCAAAGTTTAAATGAAAATCAGTTACTGATTATCTATGTAATTATTTAGCTGTATCTATTGTTATTATGAAATATGTGCTTTGTCATCTTATAATACTTATTTTTCACATTTTATTACTCTCAATTATTATTTATTCTAACAACCCTTCATGTTCCTCAGACGGAATCCACGCCACCCACCTCACCCTTGGCTAACCTCCCGTACGTGTGAGGTCGTCCTCCAAAAGGGGATCTCTGAAGTACCAGTGTCTTCGAGGCCTTTCAAAGAAAACGGGGTTGTGATGCGTTTACTTCTCCTGTTTCGTTTCGCTGTTTTTTTTTAATTCATTTTCGTCCTTCTTATTCTTATTCCTGGCTTTTCTTTTCGATCGTCTTTATTTATCATCCTGGTGATTTCTCCAGATGAGTTAGGAAGAGGGAAAAATAAGAAGATATCGAGAGAAAGAGAAAGGATTAAATGAAGAAAATTGTTAAGAAAGAAACCTGTCAGTTTTCCAAAAAAAGGAAAAAAGAAAAGAAAGGAAATTTTGTATCCGGTGGTACATAAACTCTTTTAGATGATTTAGAACGATATTTGATAAGCTGAAAACAGTCTTACTCGTATCATAACTCAAGGAAGATATGACTTACCTGAGGAAGACGAATGGAAGTGACTGTGTGAGTGAAAAAAGCAGACATCTTCATTATTACATTGATGAGCGGACGTTTCAGAAGAGTTTGATAACGCAGATTCGATTATCAAAGTCATTCTTTTCGCTTTATGAGGTATTTTCTGCTGAAATACGGGATAAAAAAAAAACAATGTAAAATATCCAAGAGAAAATATACAAACCTATCGAAATTTCTTAGACCAAAAAAAATCTTAAAGGGAAGAATTTCAAAACAATATGAAAGAATAAATACTTTTTTTAAGTGGTATACGAAAAGAACAGTGTGTTGAGTGTTGGGTATGTGTTTGGCAGCTTATCAAATAAGATCCTCGGCTAAGTGCGCAAAAAAATAAAAGAAACTTCAGAAAAATAGCTTAGTTTGGTGAGAGATCTGGTTTTGAATTACCATAAGAAAAGAGAGAGAGAAAAAAAAACAGATTTCGTTGTGACCTACAATCTGTACATAAACACTTAACATGGAAAAAAGTGACATAAAGTGTACACCTTCATTTTAAAAAAATCCATAGAGGTTGTCAAAAGGATGAATTTCAACCACTGGTTCCCAAAAAAAAACGACATGAAACAGAGAGAGAGAGAGAAAGAAAGAACAGATATTTTAAAGATTATTAAATCTTAAAAAAAAATACATATTTCCTCCCTTGTTTCGAATCAAGAAGGAATATGTGTCATAAGTATGTCCTTTTATTCACTCATACTTAGTAGACTTCTCATGTCTTACCTTGTCAATGTGAATTTTGGTGTCTTTTTGCACACGGATGATCTACGGAAATTACAGACAGTACGTTATACATTTTTACATCATATTTCCGGGATATATTTTTTTTAGAGATATTACATATTAGTTTATCTTTACGTTTATTTGTTTATTTATCATTATTCATTTAGTTGTCTTTGTTATTTATTTATTTATTGTTATCATGATTATCTTGTGTTAATATAATCATATTTATTACATACAACTACTGTTATTATCATTAGCATTAACATTAGCATTATACTGACATTGCCAACGGTAGTAGCAGCAGTTGTAATATCTCATTTATAACCACTATTATTATCATTATTCTTTTTATCAACATCTTTCGTAATAGTTATCATTAATATTTTAATGACGATGGATAAAAGTTCAAATATCAGTAACTGTAGCATGGCCATTGCTATAAACAATATTGTCCTTATGTCATTTATTATTATAAAAAATATTAATGATCCCATTGTTTTCATTCTCATACTCAGTGTAATTATAATAATCAATTTTATTACAATTATTAGTAATTCTCCATATTTTATCAATGATTTTACATCATTTTATTTTCGTTTATACTCCGTGTCTGAATTAAGTTGAAACACCACACACACACACACACACACACACACACACACACACACACACACACACACACACACACACACTCACACACACACACACACACACACACACACACACACACACACACACACACACACAAACAAACAAATCATACCCACACACAAATACATACATATATGCACACTGTACATAAATCAACATGGAAGCACATAACCCCAACAAAAGAAAAAAAAAGAAATGTAATATTAAACCACGAAGTCCACTTCTTCAGCTGTCAAGTACAAAAAATATGTGTGTGTTTAATACGTGTCTTGTGTGTACCACTAACCACCGTCACCCCTCCCTCCCTCCCTCCCCCTTCCACCTTCCACCTTGCAATTAATAAGTAAATTAATGAATCTCACTGTAAAATAATTAATGAATGTAAAGTGAGGAAGAAGGAAGAGAGTGAGAAATGATCGAGATAATGTAATTTTTTTTTTCTCTTTGTAAATAGTCGCAGATTTGAAGTGTTGCTAGTGATCCGATTCTGGAGCTTGTGTGAAAATGGCTCGCTAGTGATTGCTAGCCATGAACTAGGAGGGAATTATGTGTTGTTTTGTATTTGTAAATTAGTTGTCCTATTTTTTTGTTCATTTTTTTTAATTTTAGATGACTATACTCTGTATGTTTGTCTCTGTCTATCTGTCTTCTTTCTGTTTGTCTGTCCCACAGTCTCTCTCTTTTTCTCTTTTTCTTTCTCTCCCTCCCTCTCCGTCTCTCTCTCTCTCTCTCTCTCTCTCTCTCTCTCTCTCTCTCTCTCTCTCTCTCTCTCTCTCTCTCTCTCTCTCTCTCTCTCTCTCTCTCTCTCTCTCTCTCTCTTTCTCAGACTTCGCGTCGCTCTCCCTCTCCTTATTCTCTCCCTCTCCCTCTTCTCTCCTCTCTTCCTCTCCCTTCCCCTTTCCCTTCCCTCCCTCTTCCCCTTTCTCTCCACGCCTCTCTCTGTCATTTTCCATGTACAAAATTCCTTTATTTTTGTCTACATTGCTTAACAAACCGCTTCTAGTTTTTTATCGTCATGGCTGTATTATGTAGCACAAATAAAAACAAAACAAATATACTCTAATAACTCGTAAAGAGGTCTTTTAATAACCAAAAGAAAGGTCCATGCTACTTTTTTTTTATTCCGCTGAAAAGTTACAGTGAATACAAAAAACACTTTCAGAAACTGCAGTGAGCGTGTTATTTACATATGCTGTACAGTCGTCATAGATTATACAGTATATATATAAATTATGCAAAAAAAAAAAAAAAAAAAATCTATGTGATTTTACTGTCGGCTGTGTAATATAAATGAGTGTGAAGTGTAACTATAGTACAAAATTTGTGTTTTTTTTATGTTTTTAAAAGATTCTAATTTACGAATATAGTTGACATGGTAAGATGTGACTATTTATAACAAGCAACTATTCAACATAAATAGCTAATTAAGTGTTGATAAAGGCAATTTACATAATTAGAACATTATGAATTCGGTGATAAATATGATGTACAATGAATATTTTCAAAAGCTGTTTATTAATATAAAAAAAATATTTATGACAATATACATTTTCTCCATTTTTTATTTCACTTAATGT